AGAGAAGGACAGAAGAGAGGTGGATCCTGCCCCCTGGGTAAGGAGCCAGAGCAGGACAGCAGAGAGGTGGATCCTGCCCCTGGGTAAGGAGCCAGAGCAGGACAGCAGAGAGGTGGATCCTGCCCCTGGGTAAGGAGCCAGAGAAGGACAGCAGAGAGCTGGATCCTTCTTGGGCACTGGCACACCAGGACTGTCTGGTTAATGTTCCTGAGGTCAGTGGATGCCTGTATCCAACAGACCCATACTAGATGTGTGGCTTTGTGCAATTCTCTCAGGCCTGTGTTCTCTAAGAGCTTGTTTCTCTTGACTATGGACATTTTGCATTCATCTATGTTACTAAATTTTGCTAATCTTGCATTTTGATGTAAATATTCACTTTTTCAATTTGAAAAGATTGATCTATATTACGTAGTCATCCAAGTTTTTTGTTTCTCTGAATTTTTACTTCAGTTCGCTTTTCAGGATCTGAGAGATACAATGGTAGAGATTGGAACTAAGATTTTTTAAAATGAAATGAAATAGCCATGTGTAGCTGGATATGGAGACAACTTGTGCATTGCATCATTTGCCTACATCTAAGTTATATTTTTTTTAAAGAGAGAGAGAGAGAGAGAGAGAGAGAGAGAGAGAGAGAGAATCTTTTTTTTTTGTGATGGACACAACACAATGCCTTTATTTTTATGTGATGCTGAGAATCGAACCCGGGTCCTGTGCACGCTAGGCGAGCGCTCTACCACTGAGCCACAATCCCAGCCCTACATTTAAGTTATTGATGTAGGGACGAGGCAAGGCACTAAAGAGCGCAGGAACAGTTTTATTTGGCTGCATGTTCAGAGGGCACAGCTTTTGCTGTAATTAATCAATCCCCTGAACCCCAAGTTCAGGGAGTTTCAGAATTTTATACCCAGTGTGTCAGGAGAGGGGCTCAGAAGTTCACAGTCTGCAGAAGTTCACATAAAAGCAGCTTTTCTCTCACTGTTCTGGGCAAGTTAACCCCTCAAGGACAGCTCCTGGGGAGGGGAGAGCTTCTTCCCCCCTCTCTTCCCTCCCCCTGCCAGCTGTTACCATGGAGCCCAGTTGGTAACTTCTTTTAGAAGGGTAGACCTCTCTGTGAAGCCCAGCTCCAGGCCAGAGGCATTGTTTACACATTTCTACAAATTACTCTACTGGGTACAGGTTCGTGAAAAAACAAGTGAAGGGGCGTCCAGCTCCTGCAGTGCTGATTTCTTCCTGGCCAGTGGCCAAGTAAAAGAGGGCAACTCGAAAATAGGAAGTTCACTTCCATGGAACTGTTTTATAGAGACTCTTTTTTGACAGTCCTAAAATCAGCTACCGTGAAGATTTCTGGAGCCACCCAGTTAAGACTTTTCTGTGGAGAAAGGAGGTGCCAATACAGTGGGAGGAGCTCTGAACTGAGAATAGAGGAGTCTGCTGTGGCTGCCCCTCTGCCCAGACTCCTGCCCCTGGACTTGCAGTTTGAGCTTGCCAGCCAGAGAACTGGCATGAAAGGCAGGTCTTGGCCCTGTCCTCCTGCAGGCTGCTCCCCCTCCTACCACTGCTCTTCCACCGGGCCAGTACCGGGCACTTGCCCTGAGCTTACAAGCACAACTCAGTCCTGCTGTCTTCCTGCCCTGTCCTCCCCAGGCCTGCCTTAGTCTCTGATTAGCCTACTGCTGCTCCTAAGTATCTGAATTCCGGAAATGGCTCTGTTCAGTGGCAGGACCTCCAGTAAACCCAGGAAAGACCCTCAAATCTCCTCCAGGGTTCCAACTCAGGACCACTGGCCCTTTTGATTCTGTTTTCTTCTCTATTTCACTTAGACCCCTTGAGAGTCATTGAAGCATATTGTGAAATACAAACATTCTTTTCAATCACACTCAGGCATGTTCTTGAGGCTGTGCCCTGCTCAGCCACAGGGGAACCGGCCACACAGTCCTGATATGAGTGATGCCCAGCTTGGGCAGTGCATGCCCTGCACACAGCACATGTGAGCCCACCACGTTCCATGGTTTTGCTGGCTTCTTGATTTGCTTTTCACCACTGTGACCTTGAGCAAATCACATACTGTTTCCACAGCTCTGTTTCAGCTGAGAAATGAAGATAGATGGCAGTGTTATAGATCCTATAACCTCTTGATGTGGTTATAGGATCCCCAAGTTTATCCACAGGAAGAGCACACCACCGGCAGAGATGAACCACTCAACAAATGTTAGCAGCTATGTGATCATTCTCTCCTGTTTCCTCATTTTCTTGATTTTCTAGAGTCATGGATGAGGTCATGGGTCCCTGGTCAAAATTTCCTTTTCTCCCTGCTCCCTCTGCAAGGTGTGAAAGCAAATGCTGTGGCAGAAAGGTGTGAGATTCAGTGGCAAGACCCCTGGGCTCAGACACACTCCTTAGTGTTCTGGTCTCAAAGCCACTGAACGTTCTATGTGTGTGTATGTGTGTGTGTGTGTGCAAGCATGCATGTGCATGATGTTCATATGTTTGGGTGCATGTATGTGCATGTGTGAGCATGTGAGCATGTTTATGGGTACATGTGTGGGTGCTGTATGAGCATGTACATGGGTGTGCAGGTGTATGTGTGTGAATATGTGCATGTGTGAACACATGCAGGTATATGTCTATGTGTGCATGTACATATGTGATCATGTATGTGTGTGTGCATGTGCATGTGTGAGCATGTGTGTGTACATGTGTGAGCATGATTAAGTGTATGTGTGTGAGCATGTGTATGTGTGAGCATATGCAGGTGCATGTGTATTCATGTGAGCATGTGCAGGTGTGAACATGTGCAGGTACATGTGTATGCATGTTCATGGGGTGCATGTGTACAAATGTATATGTGTGTGTACATGTGCATGGGTGTTCATATGTGTGTATGAGAGCATGTGCATGTGTACACTTGTGCAGGTGCATGTGTGTGAGCATGTGCAGGTGTGTGTGTGCGCATGCATGCATGCATGTGGGTGCATGTGTGCACATGTGTATGGGTTCAAGTGTGCACATGTTTTGTGTGCATTCAGTGTATGTGTGTGAGCATGTGCATATGTACATATTTGCGGGTGTGTGCAGACATGCATGTGTGTTCATGTGTATGAGTATGATCATGTGCGTGTGTGTGCATATGCATGCATGCACATGGGTGCATGTGTGCACATGTGTGCACACATGTGCATGTGCGTTCATGTGAAAGTGTGTGAGCATGTGTATGTGTTTGTGTGTGCATGTGTGTTCTGTAAAGCAGTGTCTCCTTGGTCTTGCTAGGCTCAACAGTGTGCTGCCTGCTGTCAGGCTCTGGTGGGGCCGGGGTCTGAGGACGGGTGGGAGAGTCTGAGTCACCGAAGTGTGCTTGCCTGGCCTCAGGGCTGACTCACCGGGCCTTCTCCCTGTTTAGGACTCTTCCCTCAGGTGTTTTATTGGTACCTTCAGCCTCGTTCTCCGCCCCTCTCCACCTGCAGCCTGGGCTGACCCTGCAGCCTTGCTTCTGGTCCACAGGTGAACATCGACCACTTCACCAAGGACCTCACGGTGAAGAACCTGGTGGAGCCTTCCCTGAGCAGCTTTGACTCTGCCCAGAAGAAAGTCCATGCCCTGATGGAGAAGGATTCACTGCCTCGCTTCCTGCGCTCCGAGTTCTATCAGGAGCTGGTCAAGTAGTGGCCTGGTCCTGAGCCATGCTCTCCACCATAGCCGGCCCTTTGCACACCCACCTACCCTCCAAGGCTTTGCTCACGGTGCGTAGCGAGGGCCAAGCGCTGCTCACCCTGGCCCACTGCTTTGGAGTGGCTCTGCCTCTGCTCCATTCTTAATCAAGCTCTGCCTGATTTCTGTTAGCCCCAGTCAGAATCAGATGGTCCTGCCTCAGACATATGTGCAAGACAAGAACAGGGTGTCATCAAGTGTGGCCGAGATAGTAGATGGCCACCGGCACCGGCTGAGGAGTGTGGAAGGGAAGCCGGTTTCCAGGGACCTTAGTTAGTTACCCCTTTTTCATTCCTGAATTTGGTCAGAAGAGGTGGTAAGAGTCTTATTGATGTTTAATTCTAAAGTGAATTTAAAATTCTGCTCTTTCCCTTCAAGCATCTTCATATTTGCTGGATAGTGTTGAGATACAACCACAAATACTGTGTTTGTATAAAACCAATCCAAATATGATTCAAGCTAATTCTGTCCTTATCCCTCCCTCACTTCCTCCCTATAAATTCACCAAATTATATTTTAAATCAACGACCTCAGATCAACAATGGGCTGTTTTATAAATGTATTCATGTTCATGGGATGTAGACCAAAATTTTTATTTCCAAATTATTTGAAATCTTTGTGAGGGTACAATGAATTCCAAAAATTCTCTGATCTTATAAAGCTGCTGCTGTTCCCTGGAGTGACTGCCTTCTAGGTGTCAGGGGGGTGTGCACTTCCAAGGGTAGACATGGCCTGCAGTGGTTGCCAGGCAGGCCTATCCCTGTCAGTGAAGGCTGACTGTCTGGCAGGCTCATCATCCTTGGAGGGCAGTGTGGTTGCCACTGCAGGCTTCCAAGGAGAGGCAGTTCCAAGGGCCCTGCAGTTTGCAATTTGCAAAGCTACCAGCCCTTCATGACCCCACCCTGTCCTGCCTCCTGCCTGAGTGGAGGCTACCTTGGAGGCTGAGGCTCACTCCCCACTGCCTCCTGCACAGCTAAGGCATAGGCCACGCTGTATCGTGGACCTGAACTTCTGATTATACATTGCATTATCATAAACGTTAGACTTTTCCTGAACTGTAGTAGGTCTCATTAGAGATGATTCACATAATTTGGTAATCAGCAAAATCAAGCTGAACCATGTATATGAGATCAAGGAGGACACCAGGCTAGTTCACAGAGGGAGGTGATGAGGGGAATCCAGGGGAAGGTGACCCTGTCCAGTCCTACATTCACTCCTGCCCATGTGCATGCTCGTTTCTCATGGGTGCAGCTCCTGCTTGTAATCCCCTAGGAATGTCCGGAGAGTGGCAGCTGTGCTACTGTTCTTAGGGCCAAACCAAGTGTGCTGGCCTTTGTGTTTTTGTGATTTCAAGGGATAATGTGTTTGAATTCTTGACTGGAAGTGGGTTGGAGTGACTGAGTTGGCACCACATCTGCAGGGGGATGGACTTGTGCAGCCCAGATGAAAGTCCCTGTGTCAGTTGAGGGCAGTCAGGGACCAGGCTGTGTGTGTGAGTCCAGCTGTGCATCTGTGTGGGTTCACAGGAGCTCAGACAGGAATGCCAGGGCATGCTGGCACCCTCTTCCCCAGCATCTGACTGCTCTGCTTTGAGTCAGGGAAATGCCAACACCTGCCTTTCTCATGCAGCTAGAAATGTTACAACCAAAAAATCTAGGTGACTTGTGTTTTTCTTGAATGCCAAACATTTTTAAGAAAGAAACAATTAAAAATTTAAATGTCCACATTATTTTAAATACCAAGCATTTGAAAACACCCAGAGATTGAAGTGGACATTACAGATTCCACCAGAGGTCTGCTGATCGCAGATCGCAGCTGGTGCTTCTCAAGCCAGTGCAGACCTGTGGCAGATGTAGGGGAGGAGGCAAAGCGCAGGAAGGGCCCCAGTGGTACCTTGCTGGGATGTGGCCAGGCATGCTCTGCTTACCTACATGTAGCTGTACTTTCAGAGCAGAATACACAGGTCGTATCAGAAACTCTTCCAGCACACAAGTAGTGCAAGGAACGTAAATATTCCAGCCTGAAATGAGAAACCCAATGTATTAAAATTGCCCTAGAAAAAATTCTGAAAGGTTTGGAAAGTATTTTGAAACTTGGAAAAACAAAACAACACCCCATGTTATTAGTTGTTTCCATGGTAACAGGAAGAAAACACATTCCTTTAGATCTGGGGAACTGAGAAGTTAGAAAAGTGGGAGGAGCTCTCCAGGAGCCAATGTGCATCCCTTTCTCCCCTCCTCTGCCCTGCCCTGAGTGAATGGTGGGAGCCTGAGAGGCTTTGGCGGTTTCCCTCCCCTGGAGTCGCAGCCCCTGCAGGAGGACTTGGGAAGTAGGGAGGTGTGGAGCAGGCTGTGGTCCCTGGAGATGGATGAGACGGTGCAGTGGCCCAGGTGTTGGTGGCTGTTCTGCCTGGGTTTGGTATAGGGTGGGGCTGGGCAGATGAGGTTTAAGTTAGAGCAGACAAGGAGACTGGATTCTAGAGCAGATTAGGAAGCTGAGCATGGTGTTCGGCTACTGCAGCGGGGCTTGCTCCTGTAACCCCACCCAACAGCTTGTGCACATGGCGCTGCCCTGGCTCCCGGACCTCACTCAGAGCAGCAGTCACCAGGTGAAAGTCAATGTCCTACTTCTGCTCTCCACACCTGTGTACCACTCGACTGTACAAATTAGATTCAGCAGATTTCAGATTTTAGCAGAGCGAGAAGAACTTGATGAAGAATTTCTTTTTCATCCTCTCTAAAGCCTTGGGTTTTACTTAGTGATGTGTTCTTGTACCCAGTTCATTTCAACAGGGTGACCTTAATCATTGCCCAGAGAACAAAAGGGTCCATTTACAATATGCTGACAAGTAATGAGCACCCCAGGCCTCGCCAAGCCGCCTGTCCCATATTGTGATGATTCCAGGTCACCAAAGGGCAGCTGTGTCCTGGGGAAGTGACTTCCTACTGCTGCCCCTGCTCCCTCTAGCAGGCCAAGACCTGTCAGTTGAGCCCACTGGCCATGAGGCAGCAACCAGCCTGGTAGCCAGTGCAGCTGCGTCTTACTGTAGAACAGCAGGGTGGGTCCCTGACTCAGTGCAGCCGGAGGGACCTCAAGCCAGCACCCCAGCTGTTGGCCCTGGAAAGACAGAGTGGACACCCCCTTCTTTCCCCATTTGCCTTAGGTACCAGAGGGCAGAGTGGAGAGACCAGTTTTCAACCCAGATGCATTCAGACCTGGGGCCAGGCAGCCCTGCATGGGCTCAGGGTGCATCTCTGAGCTGTAATAGGGTCTGGCCAGCTGTCCAGTCTCTGCTTCTGCTAGACAAGTGTGTGTTTGTTATTTGCTGGGTCAGGTTCTGCAGGTGACAATTAACAGCTGTTTCTTGTGTTGACATGATTTACCAAGGAGGTCCTGTGGCAGACCAAGCCGTCAGTACCTAGTACCCACAGAAAGGCCTTCCTACACTGCCCACCCCAGCTGCCAGGGCCAGGGCTCCCTGGAGGAGGTGTCCAGGAGGGGAACTCGTGGCACACAGAGACGAGCAGGATAAACACACTGGAGACCTGTGGACAGTCCCTTGGTGTCATATCTAGCAGGCTCCTCTTATAGAAGAGAAGCTATGAAGCCACCCTCTTCCTGTCCACGCTGGCAAGCCTCTTGCCCATCACTGATCTTCCTTGCTTTTCCTCCTGCCTCACTCTGATGGCCTCCGTTCCTCCACCATGTCTGCCCGATGTGCCACGGTGTACAGCTTTCCCTGGCCACCCGGGGAGTGCAGGGCTGTAGTGGCAAAGGGCCAGGGCAGAGATTCGCCCCTGCAGATGAGTGATTCTGATATGCTTGCCAAGAGTCCTCTTCAGGTCCCGTGGTGTCAGGACTCGGGAGCCGAAGGCTTCTAGGAAGCTGCAGCTCCCTGGACATTTCCAGCAGACACGGCAACAAAGGGAGCAGAAGGGAAGGGTCATCTGCCCACATGTCAGCATTTGTCCACAGCTGGTAACTGTGAGAGAGTCATGTCTGTCTTCTGGTTTTTATATCCAACACGTTACATGCTATGTGATTCATGCTTCTTGATAAATAAAGCACCACATCCATATCTGTGACTATGTGGCATGTGTACATTAAACGGGCATCTATGTGACAGCCACCTCAGGGTCCTCCTTCCCAGGGTGCAGGTGCCCTTCCTGAGAAGTCAGCTGGAACAGCTCGACCTGCGGGACTCCACAGAGGAGATACAAAGTGCCATGTCCATATTCTCTGATGGCACTTTGTTCTGGCAGGGGTGACAGTAAGTATTGTCACTGCTGTCACCCCTGGGAGAACAGACAGCACAGCACTGACATGGACCCTGTGATGCTCAGTGAGGGTGATGGCTTCTTGTTCTCCCTGAGCCAGTGAAGGGTCTGAAATCCTGATCTTACAGGTGGTAAGTGACATGCTGAGGTCACAAAGCTAGTGAGACTCAGACGGAGTGGAAGGGGAGAGCTTATGCAGAAAATAAGTGAAAATAGGAGCAGTGATAGGAAGCCACGTGGAAAGAGACAGAGACAGCAAGAAGACAGGTGGAATGGGAGAGACGGGGGACGCGCCTGCCTTGGCCTTGGCGGGCTTCAGGTTCCCAGTCCTGCTCCTATGGGCCCGGCTGCATCTCCTACAGGTGCAACACCCTGAACCACTCCAACACTGCCTCTTCACTGCAGTCATCTTGGTTGGGTTCATTTCTGGGAGTTTCCACCAAGAAATTCCAGTAGGACAAAGATCACGGACACTTCTGACTCCCCCCAAGCAAGAGGTTTTCTCAGGCCACCATGAAAACACATGTAAAGCAGGGTTCAGAGATCAGATGCCTCCCAGGCTCCTGTCTGGTCCACCAGATCAGAGGAGCCACCTGCCACTCCAAGATGCTGGTGTTATTGGCCCCAACCTGAGCAGAACCGGCCCTGTCCAGTGGGAGCCCATTCTGCCCCCACCAGGCAGGTCAGGCAGGCTCTCCCACCTTCAGATGCCCAAAGCACACTCATCAGGGTCTTGCAAATGATGCCACCCATGGGCCTCTTTCAAATGTTGACTTTCAGCCGGGCTCCCAGGGCCTGCACTGGGTTCTGCCATTCGGTCAGCCCATCAGGCAAGTCCCTGGGCTGCTTCCTGCACTTCCCATTTTCATGCCTCTGGTTTTACCTTGTTAAAACAGTGACACAGATAAAAATGTCACTGAAAAGTAGAGCTTGCTGGGGCGGTCCTGGCTCTTCCTGGCAGACAGGCCTCAGGGTCTCCTTGAGGTCACAATTCCAAGTCACTTGCACCACTGGGGCTGCTGCTGGTGGCACGTGATGGGGTGAGGGTGCTGCACTTAAGACCAGGTGGCACCTGGATCTGCTCTGCGCCCTGAAGCCCGTGTGCTCCAGCCGAGTCCCAGAAGCCCAGGAAGTGGGAGCCAGGGCCAGTGTGTGAGGTGGCAGCTAAGGCCCTCAACCTAGCAGCTGGAGCCTGCTGAGTTTCTCTAAGGAGACAAGAAGGAGCTCCAGGGGACTCCAGGTCCTGAGGCGTGTGGGAGCCAGAAGGTTTCACAGACGTTCCGCGGCCAGGCTGAAGTCATGCCAAGCCGGCAGCAGGGTGGCCCAGGGGCCTGGAGAGGCCAGCTGGCCACTGTCAGCACATGCAAAACCCCCACCTCCCTGATCATCCTGACCCTTGACGTCCACGGGAAACCCAGGATCATGGGCAGCAATTTCTTCCAAGTTTTTGTCAGGACAGACCATCTTCAGAGGCCATTGATTCCTCCTGTGAGGAGCTTCCCTCAGAAAAAATCCAGGCCATGCCATGGCCACATGCCTTCCTGGCCCAGTGACAGATGTCATTCAGCTGGTGTCAAAGAGCACTGCACTGCAGGAGGAATCTGGCGGAGCAAAACCTTGCTCCTCAGAGTAGGCCCCTGCACCACTCACCCCTCCTCCCCACAGACAGCTCCTGCCCCCTCCACCCCTGCTCCT